CTCTCTCTCGCCCCCTCATCGGCACAACACCACCGCCACAGCACCGCCATCGGACACAACAGAAGCCGGTGTTCATCCGTTGCAACTGTCGCCGCCCCATCTGCTCGTCTGTCTATCTGATTTCCGTCACAGAGGTCGGCAGCGCTGCCCGTCACTAATGTTCACTGGTTGCTGCTTCGAGAACGATACCGACAGTCCTCTGCATTGATATTTCCATTAGTGTGACTAGCTGCAGCCGCCTCGCGAGTTCGATATTATCAGCGGTTGTCGAGTTGTGTGGAAGGCTCCGGTAGCCCCCCAATCACCGTTCAACTCCCATATATGCGAATCGGCTCCAACATTGAGCTCCTCCGTTAATGGACGGTCCGATACGACGGCTCGTGGTGGTGTGGTGGGTGGAGGAATGACGTCTGTATGTTGATGGAAAATGATTAAACAGTAATTCGAGCTAGATTTTTTTTTTTTTTAGTGACAATTAGATGTATTGTATGGACTTATTGCAATTTTAAAAATTTTAAATGTAATGTTGTTTAATTAATGTTAAAATCTGTAATCTATCAGACAACAAAAAAAAAATAATAATAAAATTAAGTGCACAATATTACTGATTAAACTAAAAATAAACATATTAAAAATATAAAATAAAAATATTAAAAATACTAAAAATATTTTTTATATTATGAATAACATTTTATTTCAGATATTTTGTATATTTAGGTTCAATTTGAATTTGGTTTGAGATAAAAGTCGGAACAATTCATACTGCACAATAGCACCGAATCCGTGCACAATATGGTAACACGGATTGCACATTAATGACTGTCAGACTGCACAACAACTACTAACCTAGAAATAAAGGTTTGAATAATTATATTTCATTTTGATTATTTGTTTTGTTATTTTAAAAAAACCAGTTATTTGTATCGGAAAGAAACAAAAAATATTAACTATAAATAAAAACATAAATTATATCAAAATATCAACGCCAACCAATTACAATATCGTGTATACACTGACCATTTTTTAAAAATATCGACACCAACCGAATACACGTTTAATATAATTTTTTAGACAAAATATATATTTTTAAGTTGTAAATAATATTATATTTCATTTACTCAAGTTATTTCGGTTAACCAACCGAATAAGCAAGTTAATTCAATTTAATGTTAATTTTGTTTTGAGATAAAAGTTCGACGGATTCGTATTGCACAATATCAACTGAAATAATGCACAATATGGTTAGAGCAGTTGCACATTAATGACAGTCATAATGCATTGTTCGAATTTTTTTATATTTATGTACACTTGTTTGTTTTTATTTTAAAACTTTGGTTATTTGCACCAATAGAAAAAAAAATCATTATACAAGCATATAAAAATAATGAAATCCGATGCCAGTCATTTAACGGTAGTGTATAAATTGGCAAAAGAAATTCAGAATATTGACGTTACAACTTTAATGTATATTTTCAGACATTAATATTAAATATATTTTTACAATATAAATGATATAAAATATTAAAAAATATAAATACTAATATATTTTTATTGTAGAAATAAATTTACTTACAAAATAATGTTATTGAAATACTCATTATTAAAGTTTTTAAAAATGAAATGCGGACAAAAAAAAAAAAAAAAATAGATCAATGGATTGCAGTATAATGTTAGACGAAATGCATATTATTGTATGTGGAGTAAACAATGTTGATTCAATATTTTATACATTATGTCTTTTAAAACAAAGTAATATAAAAATATTAAATATAAATATTAAAATACTGAATATATTTTTATATTATAAATAAAAAATTATCTATATTATTTACATTAATTCGGTTAATGGATCGAATAAACCATTGTTTCAGATCGGCTCTAGTTTGGTATGAATCGAATCATTGCACAATAGTGACAGACGAATTGCACATTTATGACTATCAGAATGCACAAAGACAGAAACCGTCAAATCTCAAATTCTTCCGTTTTTTATAATTAAATCATGGATGTTTCAGTTCGATGTCGTTTTTTTAATAACCGAAATAATAATAATATGAAAAATATTATTTTTATTATTTTAATTTTTTATGTATAATGAGTGCACAGTGTGGTTGTATAAATTGCACCTTAATGACTATTAGATTGCACAATATATAACGAAACTGAACAAACTAATTTTTTCAGTTCGAAATTCTAAATTTCAGTTCGATTGTCTTGCATTACTCTTAATAAAACCCGGTTATTTCGTTTCTATGGCAGTTTTTTTTTTTTTTTTTTAAATTACATAACTGAAATAACCGAAAGTCCAACTTGTATAAAAATATTATTATCATTTTTTTTTTATATTTTTATGCAATATATTATCAATTTTCAAGTACTAAATGAAAAATATTAAAATATTAATTATAATTTGATTAATTATAAATTTGACCCATGAACTAAATTGTAATGCTTCACAATATCATAAATTGCAATAAAGTCCCCAGAACATATCAAATTCACAAAATGAAGCCATTTCATTTCAAATCATAATTATCGTCTCTGAAACTCCCATCTCTTATATTCCCGTATCCCACACAAGTCCTCTCCACCACCACCGACCACCGCGGCCCTCCGATTTTGCATACGGCGAGGCCTTTTTTCCACAACTACAACCCAGATGATCAATAACTCGCGCTAGGTTGTGGAGGACGGGGGCTGCATTAGAGTAGTCGGCAATGTCCGGCTGATGGCGGCGACAGGTTGAGACTTCGGCGTGGCTCATCGCGGCGAACGGTGGACTATGGACATGGTGGTCTGGTGGGGGATGATGGAGTTCGATGTCTGCTTCGGGTGATCCGACGATGGGTCGGTGATGTGAAGGTACAAAGCTTGTCAGAGTTCTCTGAGGAGTCATCGGAATCAAAATCCTTGGGCTGTTCGGAAGGATGAGATGCAGAGGCTGTTGCATCGGCTTTGACCTCTCGGCTAGCAATTTCAAAGAACAAGCCATCGGATATGTCCGACAAGCCGTGGCGGAGGATAACGGTGGGAACTACGCCAAAGCTTCCCTCTGTACATGAACGCCTTGGAGTATTTCAAAACCCACCTCAAGTACGAGAAGAACCCCAAGATTAAGGAGGCCATCACGCAGAAGTTCACCTAGTACCTGACGTGGGCCGAGGAAATTCGGGCCGTGATCGACGAGGGCGGCTCAGGCCCCACGTCGAATGGGGACGCTGCCGTGGCGGCCCGCCCCAAGACCAAGCCCAAGGATGGCAATGATGGGGAGGATGGGGATAAGGAGAAACTACGGGCTGGGCTGAATTCGGCTATTGTCAGGAAAAAGCATAATGTTAAGTGGAATGATGTTGCGGGCTTGGATAGTGCCAAGCAGGCGCTTCAAGAAGCTGTGATTTTGCCCGTGAAGTTCCCCCAATTTTTTACTGGTATAATATCTGTTTCATACCTTTTTTATTGGTCCAGCTTTCCTTTAGTTAGTGGATCTGGTTGGCTTCTATGGCTTAGTTGTCCTTGATTTTAAAGGAAACTATGTGGATAGAATGGTTTTGGTGAATATTGCTTTATGGTGATGTTGTATTGTTATTGGCTGGGGAGGTGTTTACTATTCACTCCTGTGACTTGTGTTGTGTTATTTTTGTGTTATAAAGTTATGGTTCAATGCAAATTGTGCAGGATTGCTAGATTACTTATAGTGTCTTGCATGATCAATTGTCTCAATTATATCTGTTTCCATATACGTTTGACTTGATGGTTTTGGTCGGTAGAGAAAAATTTGTTGGAAGTTGGTTATAGCCAGAGCCAGCTCAATTTGGTTCTGAAGAGTAGACATGTTGGTTCCATAATTTCACTTTACAATTGTTTAGGCTTTAGGCAATTGCATGATGAGAAGAGATCAAGATTGATAAAAAAAGATGGGAGATTTGGATTTCTTCAGCTTTCTTTCTGTTTATCTGGGATAAAATCAGTTTCACGTGCATTGCAAATTTAGGCTTCCTTAAATTATGCTACAGAGCATTTATGGGATGTTGTTGCAACATTACAGTTTTACCCTAGTTAATATGAAATTGTCTTTGTTCTTATGCAAGTTGGCTCTCAAACCATCATCTCACCATATCTTTGTCCAATTAAAGAAAACAAAGGTGGAAGAATGAAGGAAGAACTATAGAAATACCTTAAGTTGGACAAAATTAAAAAAATATGTTTTTCTTTAGTTCTTGTGGTACACATTATCGTTTTTTGTATAGCACACAGCTTATATATATATATATATATATATATATATATATATAAGGTTGGGTTCACATGAGAATGGTGCTTAGAGAAAGAAATGAGAATAAATCCTAGCCACTAGATCGTAAGATCTAATGGCTAAGAAAAAATCAAAATATTAAACTCATTAAGGGTAATTTGGACATTGTCATTACATATCACCACCCACATCACCATGCCACATCACCACTCTCTGACCAAACACACACAGAACACACGCGCACACACACACAACACACACAAACACAATTCCAATGCAGTACATAAAAAAAATAAAAAATAAAAAGAAAAGAAAAAAGAAAATCTGCAAACACAATACGCACACACTCTCACCCCCGATCAAGCACACACACATTCACGTCGGCTCGGCCTCGACGTCAGCCCAGATCTGCCCGACCGCCACTCGGATCCGCCCCACAGTGTCGCCGATCACCCCATCCCCTGCGGGATTCCGGCGGCCAGGGGCGGAGCCACCCTAAGGCTAGGGTGGGCTCCAGCCCCATGTAATTTTTTGTTAACCTTATTTTTAATAACATTATATTTTAAAAAAATTTATACATAGACCCATTAGCCTCATGTAATTTTTTATGTAGCCCCATTTAATTTTGGGCTGAATGTCTCAAGATTATCTTCAGGTTAAAATTTTTTATCTAGCAACAATGGTGGAAAAATGATGATTGTAGTGAGAAAAAAAGATATCTTTTTATTGTCAAATGACAACTGTGACCTTATTAAATTTTTGTCAATTGAGTTAATGTGGCCCAACACATTTTTGCCTAATGGGTTGACTTGACAAATATCAAATGAGCTGGATAATTAAACTTGACACAGACTTCTTCAACGGGCTATTTAATTGGGTTCGTCTTATACCACAGTCTGTTATCAATTTTCATTTTATTTATTTATAATTTTTTTGGTTTCGCCTTCAATAATTAATTCTGCATCATTTCCTAGACAAAGAGAAAACTCGTACAAAGTTGATTGCAAACATGTTCAACTCTGTTTGCTTGATCAACAAGTTCGATTGGCTATTTGAGTTTGGCTTGTTTAAATATATAAGCGATTCGAGATTGAGTTTTCCCAATTCAAACTGACATATGTTAACAGATAATTTGTTTCTAATCATAACTAAAACTGATTACTAGTTGAAATCGTCGATATCGGGCCGAGGGTTGGAGGACCTTGAACCGGCGCGAACATTTTTACGTGCCGATTCATTGAACTGTCAGTTAGTGGTCGTCAGGTCATTAAAAAATAAAAAATAATTAAAATAAATTTTTTTTTTTTAAAAAAAAGGTCGAACCTCGGGTTCTGGTTCCAGTTTGAAACCGAAGTTGCATGTTCAAAATGTACAACTATAAAGTATTGTACATGAACCGAACTTGTCAAAACCACGACCCGATTCAAGACCCATGGTCAACGGGCCAGTTTGTGTCGGTTCGGGCCGAACCGACAGGCTGGGTCGACCCATGACTATGTCTACAAGGTTCCAATAATAGCTACAATAATATCCAGCCCCTGGTTAAAAAACTTCCTGACTACACCCCTGCCGGCGGCCGTATGGATTCACTTAAATTTCGTGTTAGTGCACAACCGTCGAAGAAGAACACCATCTCGCCACGCCGGTCGACCTCCATATCGTGTTAGCTGCCGCCTCCGCCGCGCCTTAAAAAATTCTGAGATCCAATCCGTCCGGCCGCCCCAGCATCCCGTTCTCTGTAGTCCGCCGCACTTATAAACTCTGACCCTCGTAAAATTATGAGCAGACCAAGCTCGAATTCGCCGTAACCTTCTCCCACCACCACGCGGAGCCGAAGTCGCTGCTCTATGAACAGGTCGACTCGAATTTTGGTTGGGTCTTCGGTGGGCAGCGGCACGTCCTCTTCTGTCGTGGCAGTTCACGACGGCAAAAAACAGTGGTCTGAAAATAGCGTACGAACGTGGCAGTGAGTTTGGATTTGGGGGCTTGAATTTAAAAATTTGATAAATCACAATGACCCAATTGCAATTTTAGAACTTTCATTATATTTCAAAATGACCCATAGGACAAATCTGTAATTTATAAAAAGTATATAAAAGTATGATTTTTTATACATATATTTATTATATTTTTTTGAACTAAAAATGTAACACCCCGACTTTTTCCTATATCAGAGTACGCAATTTTTCGCAATTTTCTGAATAAAATACTTATTTTTCGAAAACTGATTCGGGATGCTACCGTGAAGAAAACTTGATTTTTGAAAACCGTTAAAATTTAAACTGATACATAAAAACGGTCATAGCGTCTTATCCGACTAACGTCGGAGCAAAGTTTGATAATAGTACTTGAAAGTTTTAGCGGAAACAAAGCGTGGCTAAACATAAATACAATAATCATAAATGTCCTGAACAGCTCGCCCGCT